AAAATTATTAAAATGATTTAAGAAATGTGTTAAAATAACACAATTCGTACGTATTTATTCAATATGTTAAAATTTACACAAAAAAATATTGGTTTTACTCTATAACAGGAGTGGAGATGATTGTTATTATTCTTTGTGTGGTTTCGGCACAGTCTTGAATTTTGACGCGTCTCGACATGTTATTTTATCATAAAAATTATGTTAATTGTAACACACAATTAACTTCAAATTAAGATCAAGAGTACATTTCTTTTTTGTTGAAATATTAACATAGTATCGGTGTTACTATTTAACACATCCATTTGTTATGTTAAATTAACACAAAATTTTGAGTGGCCCGTTTGAGACATGTGATTTATGTTAAATTCAACACATTTTTTTCCAACAGTGTACAAAACGAGGAACAAAAATTATATAGATATCACAGATGGGCTTTTTAAACAATACTTTTGAAGAGAGAATGGGAGAGAAGAAGTTAGACGAAGCGGGCGATCGTTGGCAATCACGTGGTCAAAAGCGTAGCGATGCGTGCTTTCCTTTATCACGTCGAGAAGGGGACCGGTTGTATCACGCCGTGAACGCGCATGTAGTCAAAGAGAAACAAACGGGGTGAGAACTCGTATTCAGGTGCATGGGAGGCGGAAAACAAGGAGAGAAACAAGTGCTGCTCGTGCTGTACGCAACCGCGGAGGTGAAGATGCGTGAAAGTGGAGGTGCTTAGTAGCGATCTAATTATCTACGCGGCGGGATGTCGCGGCCTCCCTCTGCGCCTCACCGCATTGAGGAAACAAGAGCAAATTGAATGGTGGTGGATGGTGCTTGCTAACCGAAGAGAGCCGAAGATGCCGTGCCTCTAATTGTAAGACGCCACTTTTGAAACCATCTCTTTTAGCGATAGTTACAAATACGAAATATCTAAAAGAGATATAAACAATTTTATTACCATATTTTGTAATTTTTTTGTTGAATTTTACAACATTTGACTACTAATTGCAATTAGTTTGATTTTTAATAAATTGAATTAAAAAAATAGATTCTAGTATCACGAAAATAAAACAATGTTAATTTGAAAGTTTCGAAAAAAATTTTAAAGAAGATATATAACGTCATTAATGAATGCACATCAGTTTTACAAGCTTTGTCTCGTTCTCTCGAAGTACGATACTTTTCACAATGCGTACACGTGCCTCGTGTCATCATTAAGTGTGTTAAGCATGTTAGAATCGTTCCGAGGACAACGATTCGGACAACCTTTCTTTCCGATTCAACGCAGGTCGCCGATCGCAAGGAATTTCTCATGTCACGCCGCGTTACTTTATTTATCGACGTTGAACGCCACTTATAACCTTTTGCCTCCTGGAGTTAAAGAGCACAGACGAGAAGATTTCCTGACATATAAAATCGATTGATGGATTCTAAGCATTGTCGAACGCATTGTCGAACGCAACAATATGCACGGCTGCGAATGCAATAACTTTATTTATTTTCTTCCTTGGGCACGTAAAAGCATACATACAACAAGACTTTTTTATAAAGTAAAAAAAAAATGAAAGCGTGTTTACTTTATTTCTTCATATATCTTCAACATCTATGGGAACAAGATTAACTCTTGAATTTATAGACATAGAAATAATTTCATAACGATAAAAATATCTTAGCGCCTACTATATGGCGCTCGACTACTAGAAGCTAAAGATGCCGTGTGAAGATTTCCGACGCGATATTTGTCCTTTCGAAAGCACGTACAATCACGAGAGCATTAACATTACTATGCCGTGACTCGTGCATGTTAATACGCTATGACACGCTAGAAACACAATGAAGCGGCGCGAGATACGAGCCTAGATCGATACGACGTATTCGCTTTACCTGTCGTACAATTAGAACTTAGTTCGGAAATAAGCAGCGAGTTACACGTCAGCATGTCGAAATAAAGTGCCGCGTATATCGCTGGCACGTATTATGCTAGAGCCGGGCAATTAACTCGCTACTTGATTAACTAGGTAGAGCCTGTCAACTTTTGCGGAGGACTTCAACGAAGAGAGAGGAGCGAGATGAGAAGACGCGGGAGGAGGGAGGAGAACGGTGAAAGAGTGAAGGGGGAGCCAGGGGGAGAGACAGGAGAAAAGTCGGACTTGCGAGGGCATCGAAGTTACGA